GTGGGGTGTGAAATGTTAAAAAAAAAAAAAAAAAAAAAAAAAAAAAAAAAAAAAAAAAGAAATCCTAATCTGGTTCTAATAATTTAAGGGAAGTAGGCTGATTCTTAAGGGTTAAGACATTCGTGACATCCGTGAACCACTAGATGGAAGTATATGCTTGCTGTCCATGGATATCTAGCAAGTATTTGATCATGCTCGCTGAAAATGAGAAGATAAAGAAAATGAGTTGACTTATGCTAGCAGAAACTCAGCCCAAGATTAGACTAAACTTTGCACTAATAATTGCATATAATTGATTGTAAATACTTACAAAATTTTTATTTTTCTATTTCAACTTCACTAGTGTATGAAATTCCTTCTGGACAGTTCCTGAGAGAATTTTATGGTCACCTTAACATAGTGTATGATCTTTGTTGGTCAAAAGACAATCAATACCTTCTTACTGCGTCCTCTGATGGCACTGTCAGGTCAGTATGATGATGATGTTCTGGCAGGTAGCATCAGAAGCACAAAAGAAAGTGGTCCAGTTTCATTTCTTACTAAAAACTGTGCTATAATGTTTTTAATTAAAGATTTGATTGCAGTGTGACTTACTCTATAATATTACAAAAATTATGATGGAGTTAATCACTTACACTGTATTTACTATATTAGTTTATAATGTATATGTATTTGAAACCAAGGTTTCTGCAGAAGCTGTAGTGTCTAAATCTACACTGCAGCAAAAAAATCAAAAGATTTTATATTTCCAGAAGTCACTGAGACAGCTGGAATATTCTGTCCTTGGAGAAATTGCTATAATATAAATGCAGTATTAAGTTTGCAAATTTGAACATGAGGAAGGAAATTGAAAATTTAAGATTCAAGTTACATGTAGAAATTGGCCACACTGTACTTATATATGTAACTTTTGTTTTTTTGGACACATAGTTAAATAATACAACTTAAATTGCTGTAAATGTAATTTGATAGTATTATTTCTGAGGCAGAATGTGTACACATTTTCCTCTACAATTTAAAAGTGTACTTCAACTCAGTGTTAATGTTAAAATACTAATCTGTTAAAAGTTTAAAAGCAAAACCCTCAAAACTGTAGAAAAACATGAAAGTATGGCTGTGACACTGCATAATTTTATTACGAGCAACTTCAGATCCCTATCTCTTGTTTCTGTTATGCAACTCAGTAATGCTACAGGCAGTTGCATAATTAAAATGCCAGAAGAATTGTTAAATGATATATTGTATGGGTGGAACTAAAAAGAACATTTTGAGAACTTAGCCCATGTTTTTATTTTTTATTTGGAAGCAGATTAAATAATAACTTTTTATATTGAAGTAAATATCAATTTTGGTCATTTATGTTACCTATAAGAAGGCCCAGCTGTTCCTCAATTCTTGAATTTGTGGTAGCAAGTTGAAACTCTAGTGGTCTGCCTCCTTTTCTGTGTACTATGCATAGTCACTGTACGAGTTGTTAGTTCCTGTATTTATTGTCCGTTGCGTTAAGCTCCTTAAAAAGTCTGTTTAGGCAAGGAGTTTCTTCTTTTTCCCTTTCATATTGGGAGCATTTTGCCATTGAAACATGGTAGAATTGAAGGATGAGACCAAAAGGCACCCTATTTCTTGAAAGTCGTTATCAGTTTATTACCTGGATCATCTCTTGGACTGAGTTCTAAGGCAACTTGAAGGGAGGTTTGGGAACTTACGTGAATCCTTCTTTTCATAGTGTTTTGTATGTTACCTTTGAGCCTTCCCAAGCTTTAGTCCCACGTTATTTGTGAGCAATAAATTAACTTTTATGTTGTTAGAGCAAAACCATTCTAAAAGATAGGTAAACTCCTTGTGACCTTTGCACATTAAGTTGCAAGTTAATTGCTATACTCTAAGGGATTGCAATTTTGTAATGAACTCACCTCAGAGTAAGCTTAGAATTCCTCAGCAGCCACCAGAAGTAGTCACCCTGCTTGGAAGGGTGGCACTCAATTAAATTTCATATTGTAACTGAGCGCTCTCTGAAATGTGCTGCCCACCTGTATTTCATGATCCAGGTACTGTTCCATTCTTTACGGACTCATTTTTGGGGAAGGCTCAATAATAAAATGTATAGCATCAAACAAAAAACACTTCCTAAGAGAAATCTGATCTTACAGCTATGGGTGGTGAAGGATAGGAAATAGATGAATAGTAAGAACTGAATTTATGTGAAGAAAACATCCTTGAGATCACAATCACTGTGTGGTAGGTAATTGTTCTTTTAAAACTTTCTGGGTTTTTATTTATATTTAGTGGTCCTAAGTGTTCCTTTGTGGGGGTTTGTTTGTTTGTTTGTTTGTTTTTAAATGAGTGATACACCGGAAGGTCTTAATTTGTTTATAACACCTGAAAGAAACCGATCCATTCCATGGAATTCCTTTTGTATTTTAAAATGTGCAAAATATCCATTAAATGAGTAAGTAGTCATGAATTTACTTTGAAGACAGACTACTATGTAAAGTAGTAAATGTATCTTAATTCTTGTTAGAAAGTACCATATTAAAGGATTAAATACAGGTGGAACAAATTGGTAGGATAAACAGGTGGTGTTAAGTGTTTGCAAGCTTTTGCCTCTAGAACCACTAGCACAAAATACGGCATCAGTTATACCTGTGTATGGCATTGCTTTATACAGTAGATAACCTAACATCCTTTCCTTTTAGAATGTGGAAAATAGAAATGCAAGCAGCATCTGCAGTGAGAGTTTTCCCTCATCCTTCATTTGTTTACACTGCAAAGTACCACCCAATTGCTGACTCATTGGTCGTGACAGGATGTTACGACTCAGTAATTAGAATCTGGAATGCAAATGTGAAAGAAATCCATGGGCAACTGCTACAGGAGCTTGATGGTCACAAAAGTTTCATCAACACACTTTGTTTTGATGCAGAAGGTATGTACTTAGTATTACTTTTTCAAATGGTCATCTTTTCAGTTGAAGACCAACTTGAGTGTTACTAGTTTGCTTTATTTCATAGAGGCAATGTGAAATGCTATATAACAGAATAGAATAGTTTTAGCTGCGTTTGCAATTAATATGTTAGTGTGATGCCTTATTTGGACAAACACAAAGGGACACAGTCCCTGATATAAACTGAGAGTAATCAGAAAAGGTAGGTGTAGAAAGGACAAGCAAACAAATGTGTAGTGATCAGGCAATGATGACTGGACAAATTTTGGTCATAGTTTAGTTTTCATTGTCCCTATAACTACCTGTTGTTAGTTAGCTGATGTTTTGTACATATTGCAGCAAAAATTAGCAGAACATAAAGCACAGATGCTACTGTTCAGAGGAGACAAATGGATCAGGATGCAGGTGAAAAGCCTAGCAGTTAGTGTAGAGAGGTAAGTTGGAAAAAAGGCAGGTTTTGTTAAAGAAGCAGGTGGAAGAATTATGTACTAACTTAAAAGCAGAAGCAGGAAATCTGAAACGAGCTTCAGAACAGGAGACTGCATGATCAGAACAGTAGCAAAGACAGCTCCACCATGTTGTCATTCAAAGTTATCAACTCAATACAAAGATAAAGAACATGAGGTAGCAGTAGTTAGATGGTGAGAATTTTAATGCTAGACTGAAGTGGGGAGGTGATGAACTCGTCAACGTTGACAGAGAATGTGAAAAACTGAGGGAAAAGGACAGAGATTTGACCATTGTGAATAATGTTAACTGGTAGATTAACAGGTAGTGAGAGAGATGTACTGACATGTACTGGTGGAGGGCGGGAAGAGTTGAAGATGGGTGAATGAATAAGACACTTGGAAGTGTTTGACTTTTTCTGGTATTAGTGACATCATTAGTAATTAGGTCGTCTATTTCTGGAGGTATTCACTGGAATAGGTATTACAAAGAGGAAAGAGTTGCATTTTTATAAAGAAAAAGTATTTGTGCTTAATTTAAGCATAGCTGTTGGAAAACAGTGTTTGTTCTTGTTCAAGATGTTCTCAGTGAATGTATAGGTAAGCATTAGGCTATCATGTGAAGCTCATTGAGCTATAAATGCTCATTTTTTTGCTGGTTCTAGAACATGAGTAAAAATGAAAAAACTTAAAAGAATATTCAGCACCCCAGTATCTGACTTATGTGCTGAAACCAAATTTATGGTATCAACTTACGTCATGCAGCATGAGCAAAATGAATTTGCAACGAGTATATCATAGCAAAAGAGAGGAAAGAATTGGTGTTCACCTATTCACAAAAGTAATAGAAAAAAATTGTTTCTTGTTCGTACATCCTTTTCTGTATTTGTTTTTGTGTGGTATTCTTTTACTTATAAGACATTATTTCACAGGGCTCCACATGTTCTCAGGAGATAGTTCAGGACTGATAATAGTTTGGGATACATCTGTCAAAGGGAATTCTCAACGCCTGTTTCAACACTGGAGGATTAATAAGGTATACAGATTTCTTAAACTAGCATTGTAATTTTTATGTGAACTGTTCCAAATCTAGTCATTTGATTTGAATTCAAAATTTTTTTATACATTAACATTTGTTTACCTGAAAAGATGTATTTTCTTTAAATAACAGTACAAAAGAGCTGGTAGAACATGCTGTGATTCACTTACTTAAAATTTTTTAATTGTTTCACAACTTCAATTTTTTGTACATAAAACGTGAAAATGCTTGGGGTTTAATAGCATTGTATTAACAGATAAATGCTAATGCATTAGGTTTGTTTTCTAGAGACAACAATAAAATAGACCACAAGCTTTACCAATCACCTTTGTTCATGGCTTAGAGGCCTAATGTTCAGCATCTCTGTCATCAACTGTGTTTCAGAAGTTCAGAGTCACAGTAGAATCTGCCTTGTGGTTGTAAAATGTTGATTGCCTAGGATGTAATGCGTTAATACAGGAATAAACTTTTTCCTTAACCAAATAGAATGAAGTGGGCAGAAAAAGAGTAATGCAAGAGAAAAATGAATAATAATGTGTAAAAACATGAGTTTTAAAACACAAAGTTATATTATTTTATGTTATTTTCCTTCTTTCTGTAGGAAATAAAAGAAAATGATATTAAAGGAACACCAATAAATCATTTGGAGGTGCATCCAAATGGAAGGCGTTTATTAATCCACACCAAAGACAGTACCCTGAGAATCATGGATCTCAGAATGTAAGTAGATTTTTGGTGACAAGTGTGTATTTCCTTTTTGTTTTAAAATTTACTTAGGGAAATAAAGCACCATAAAACTATTAAATGTATAGTTGTGGAGAAGAAAGATGTCCTAATAATCAAGGATAGCAATATTAGGGTTAGGAAACGGTTTCAAAACACTGCTATAATACAGACCTTTTGTGTGATATTGGGCAAGTCTTTTAGAATAGAATATCCAAAAATTACTAGATTACTTGGGGGCTTAAGGTGGCATGAAGAAGACACTAGTCTAAAGATTGAATTAACTTTTAAAAATGCAACCTAGGTGTGAAAATAACTGAAATTATAACATTTATTTGTGCATTATTTTCTCATTGTTAAGACTCTGGGAACAGTATTTTGATGATAAACTGGAACAAGGATTGTCATCATAAATACTAAAATATAAAATAATGTACGTGTTATGGTATATTAAGCAGGCGGTGAGATATTTTTAACTTAGTTTTTGATGATTTTCTCATTTTTAATATTTGTGAACATGATTCTTTAATAATAAGCTACAATTAAAAATGAGGGGATCACAGAATCACTTGAGTTATTGAGGTTGGAGAGTGTCCAGTCCAACCCCAATAATCAAAGCACGAGAGCATGTTGCTCAGGGCTTTGACCAGTTGGGTTTTGAGTATCTCAAAGGATGGAGATTCTACATGTGAGCAACATGTTCTAGTGTTCATTCACCCTCAAAGTAAAAGAAGTTTTTTTCTTAATTTTAAATGGAATTTCCTGTATTTCAATTTGTGTCCATTCCCTCTTGTCCTTTCACTGGGTGGAACTGAGAAGAGTCTTACTCCTATCAGTTACACATTGATAAGATGCACCTGAACATTCTCTTCTGGAAAGTCATGTTAAAGTTATGAAAGCTCTTTCTAAATGCTTCATCCTTAATTTCATGGGTTCCCTTCCTTGCCTCACCATGCAGAAAATCAAAGGTCCCTGGTGGTCTACATGAAATTACCTGGGGGAAATACCTCTTTATGCTCTCATAGCATGAGAAACTATGTTCTTTTGTACATACTTTTGACTCTCTCAGGAAATCTCACTCTTAAATAGTATATTGGGTTGGGTGTTTGAAATAGCTGAAGACATTCCAGTTTAATAGTGCACTCTTCATCTTTTACTATAAATGATAATTTATAGTGACCATAGTAGAAGGCTGAACTATTCACTCAATCCAAGCGTGAAATCAGTGGATTAACAGAGGGAACCTGTAGTTTTTGAAGCAGATAGTGTTCTATCACTGCCATTCCTAAAAGGTGCAGAGTTTTAGATTGAGAGAGAAAAATGGGCATGAGTATTAATCTCTAAGAAAGAGTTAATATGGCATGCAATTTCACAGTTATTAAGCTAGTTTGTCCGTAGGACACACCATCTCCTCCTGTCTCCCATACCTTTGGCCATGTATTCGTAGCATTTCCTTTTTATCAGATGTAGAGATCTTTTGATGCAGGGTAAGTCAGATCAGTGCACTGATCCGACTAAAAATCAGCCTACAAATACAAATGATTAATTTTCATTTTAATCAACTATCTGATCTAACTCATCTGATAGCTGCCCAAACACTAGAGAATAAATGAGGGAGAGCCTGGGAAAATAAGGGTGGAGAGGACAGCAGCAGGACTGCTGCTTTGACTGCAGCCCACAGTTACATGGGCTTAAGTCTATCAATAAACCACAGGGTCAGATACCCAGCAGCGATAATTTTACACGTCAGCATTAACTGTTCATTCCCTGCATGAGAAAAGAGGGGGTGGAGGTCACAGATCAACACAATTCACTTTGATTGACAGCTAGTTGTTCTTAACTTTCCTCTTTCAACTTGCTTTTTTGATCTTTTTGGATAACGCTGTTGTCCTGTCACTCAGGTATGTGATCAGGGATTTGGTTTTGGTTCAGACCTCTCCTTAGGGTTTCATATGCAGGTTAGTTTTACATCTTGCAGAGCTCTTCTGCATGACGTCTCAGAGATACTATCTTTCTTATTCGCATAGCTAAAACTCTTATTTGGGCTAATATGGTCTTGCACTCTGACAGTTAAAGCATCCTTTTCTCTTGCTTGCCAAATAGAATTGTATCTGAGGTATATTTATTCAGGATATTGTTAAGAATAATTTTCATGTCATATTAACTGCATTGCACTTCTCCCAGCATACCTGCATTGTTTGTGCAGTAACAGATTTTAAAAATTACTGTCTATTGTCTTTGAGGGCTGTCATGGCCTATTGCCATTCTTCTTGCCTCGAATTCTGCATCGTAGTATCACGGCTGTATTAGTCTCCATTTTGAACTTTTACGTCTCTTTCCAAGCTGTACCTCATGTTTGAGATAGCCTCTTACAAGCTGGCTTATGCTTCTTTAAATCTTTCTGGACATTCTCTCTTACTTGATGCCTACAAACTGTTTGACAGTAGTTCATTAGTAGGTCATGATTACTCTGCTGACCAGTAGTGTTTCACTGAAAAAAGATTAGGATACCTAAGTAGGACAATAATATTAAAAATGTTAATGTTAATAGTAAATCAACATTGATATGTAAAATTTGTTGATTCTACTGCTGGTTTTCCAACCAAGGAGACAGACATTAGTCTGAAGAGCTAAAGAGAGCTGCTGGATAAATTTAAGCACTTCTGGGATGTAATCAAGCTCAGGAAGTGTAATGAAAACTTTTTTGGCAGAGCTTGGAGTAATAGTGCCAATTTCCCCATTTTCTGCAAAGCCTGGGATCAAGAAAATGCAAATTACTACATCTATATCCATTCTCTAGATCTGAGTATTTCCATTTTCTACTAAAAGACAAAGACGTACACTTTCATCTATAATTTCAGGTGCATTATGAAAGCCAAGGAAAAGAAAGGGTAAACATTGCACTCTGCAAAAGGTGGGTGCTTGCATATCTATTTGGGAGGCAAGGTGTATTGATTTTTCCGAGGAATAGAGAGGGGCACTGACACATCAAAAGTTAGATTGTATGTTCTGAAAGTATCTGCTACATTTGCAAACTGTTCTTTATCTTTAGCTTGGCTACAAAGAAATACATAGGTGCCACAAATTACAGAGAAAAGATTCACAGCACCTTAACACCATGTGGTACATTCCTGTTTTCTGGAAGTGAAGATGGAAAAGCTTACGTTTGGAATCCAGAAACAGGTAACTAATTATTTTATGGTCTTAAGCCAGGTTGTCAAGACTGAGGGGGAAAGGATTTTGTAAGCTTTATTGAGACACTTTTGATACGGAATAAAACTTCAGTAAGATGTTCTTAAATCCTGAAGCCTTCACTCCACCTTTTAAATAGCTATTATTAATCTCTAAGATTTAATTCTCTATAGAGGAAATTAATAGGCAGAGGTAGCATTTATAATATCTAGCAAGAATGGAGCACTTTCAACTCAGCTTTTTGTGTATTGCAATTTTTCATATGTGGATGAGGGTCTTAAAACAGAATGCACAAAAATGTATTAAGTCAAATCAGTCTTTCTATTGCATTTTTTTGGATTTCGGAATTAGGCTTTTATTGAGAACCATTTCATCTATTTCCCAAGGGTGAGTGGAGACTCAATATTTTTGGCCTTTGGAATGTAAGGTTTCTTTGTGAATTATTTCCCAAACTGAGTAGTTTGAAAATAGCTACCAAAATCTTTCTGGAAAGGTGTTAAGCAAATGTAAAATAGAGTTTGTCATCTTCCTTGTACAGTGAGGTGAAAGGGACAAAAATAACAGTAGAAGATAGAAGAATACACTTTTTGGTTTTGATGACATTATGTTCTGTCTGCAATTATGATCTAAATAATTTTTAAAAAGGAAAAAGTAAATATTTTAAAACTGGCAGCTAACCAACAGTTCCGTTTGTAATTTCTTTCCACATTTCCAACTATATTAGCTTACAGCTATGCCGCTACATAATTCGTCTGAAAAATGAAAAAAGAATAAAACTAAAGGAAGGGAGAAATTTTGTTAGTAGTATGTTTTCACTGGGCTTTGACTCTCGCTTACGCTCTGTACTTGCATTCATAATGCCATCACCTGAAGAGCTAATTTTTTTAGTAATTTTGTGCTCAACTTTCACTCCTGTTGTCAGTATTATATAATTGAAATCCACAACTAAGATAGCTATCTCTGGCAAAATGCAAGCGCAAACAAATACTGTGGAAAGCCACCTTTCCAGAACTTGCTTATCAGAACAAGAGAACTCGGCTAACCTGATGCATCCTCTGGGGTTTCCTGCAGCTGTTGCAACAGCACTGCCTTTTCTGACTTATTCAGTAACTTAAAAGCATGCATATATTATGTCTTATGCCAAATATTACTTTTCAATAAGGAAATGGACTGAAAAGTATTTATTTACAGCGGCATGTGCTGCACTGTAGTCACACAAGCTTTAAGCAAGTGACATCTTGCTGTATCAAATATGTTTCCATGGTATTAATAAACATATTTCATTTCTGTAGGAGATCAGGTGGCCATATATTCTGAACTCTCCTTCACATCTCCACTTCGTGATGTTGCCTTTCATCCACATGAACACATGGTGTCATTTTGTGCCTTTGGTCAAAACCAGCCAATACTTGTATATATTTATGATTATAAAGGTACAGTACACATTTTCTTGATACGCACCTGTAAATATTTTATTTTTAGAAGTGATTTGCTAGTATTTGTACTTCTTTTGAAGGAAAAAGAAAACAGTCATTTGATGTTAATACATGTCTTTATCCTGGGAGATATCAAAACCCAACTGGACATGACCCTGAGCAACCTGCTGTAGGTGATCCTGCTTTGAGCGGGGGCTTTGGCCTAACCAGTCACCAGAGGTCCCTTGCAACCTCAAGTTTAAATGTGTTATTGTATGTCATCCTCTGTGATTCTTACACTTTATCATATATAGGCAGCATCATATAAATATTTAAAAGCCTCTTTTCAAGTGTCAAGGTGGATTACAGACCCAGAAAATACTATCGTTCTGAAAATTAACGAATAGCTTAGTAGAAATCTCATTATTTTGTGCTGGCTTTGTTACAAAGTAATGTTTAAAATCTGCGTAGAAATGAATTAATATGCATATAGATTGTTTTAATAAACAGGTGTTATGTCTGTGGTGTGATTATGTGAGAGATACATTTATTCCCCATGTTATATTAAAGAGAAAGTGATAAATGCTAGCTTTGAATTTTTGATATACAAAATAAAATTCAGACTGTCCTTTGCAGGCTCTTCTGATGTTTTGGTTTTGGGGTTAGCTTTAGCAGTGGCATTGTTTCAATTAAGGACATAGTTTCAGATGTCATGTTGCATCTAGACAGTAGATAAAGTTAATACGAATGATGCAATAAATTTTGCATATCTGCAAGATTTTTGTTTGAATTATATTTGCAGTGAACATTAGATTCATAAAGATAATCCTGTCTTTATACATTTGCTTTTTAAATAACATGTACTAACAAGATTACTCATATCAAATCTCACAGTTTAGGTTATTTGTCTGTTGAACTGGTTGACTTTTACAGGAAAATAAAGTGGAATGACTTTACAATCAATATGCAGTGCTAAACTTCAACCCAGTAAGATACCTGCATTCTAGAGAACTATGGAAAATTTTTTGGGTGAAGGTTTTCTTTAAAATTTTTTGACTATTCAGCAGATAGAGAGTCTTTAAAAAGCTAATAGGGTAGGTTAATATATGTGTGTGTGTGTATATTTAGAGATCACACAGATAACACACTGGTAGTTATTTGTATCATCTGACTGCTTAACTAAGTCGCTGGTGACAGTAAGATTTTGCATAGTTGTGGTCTTTTCTACATTGTCTGTTACTAACTTTTTGTTCCTTTTTTGGTTAAAAGCACACACTTTGCTTTCAGAAGATAGTCTTACTGCCCTAGTGTTGAAAGAGTTAATCATATAGTAATACTAATTTTAGTCACTGACACAGTTTTTAAGACTCCAACAGTATGTGTTTTACATACACCAACAGTTTTATTAATATCCTGGACAAAACTTTCATGAAGAATCCTTTTAACCTTTGTTGGCTTGAGACCACAGTGCAAAAAATTGCAAAAGTCAAACAATTTGTTTAAATGACAGCAAGCACAACTTTCATCAAAAGTATCCTATTCTAGAGCAGGCTACCTCCTAAGAATGCCTCCTGTGCCTGTATATATGTCTAGCAACTTCTGAAATTTTACTCAAGTATAATAAGCTCACTTGAACTAGGCTGGAAAAAATGTGAAATGTAGCTAGTAAAATAGCTGACTGGAACTCAGTGCGAGCTATATAACTTTCTTGCCTTTGAAAACAATCCTTTCTTCCACTCCACACCGCCCCCCCCCGGATATTTCTGCATGGAGAACACTATTGTTTATAAGCAATACAAGAATATCAGTTCTGTGTGAGGGGTCATTGAACACAGATGACAGAATGGAGTTGTGATCAGGAAGAGTTGGGGGAAATGGGGTAGTATGGGGAAAATTTCATGTCATTTTCAGGTTTTCCCTATAGCACTATGAGTACAGATTCTGATGGTGTTTCACTGAAGACATGGCTGGCAAAATGACAGTGATCATTCAATTATTTTTTTTTTCCCCATGGCAATGTAAGGCTTCACCTGACACATTAATATTGGTTATTTCTACAGTTGCACAGCAGGAAGCTGAACTTGTAAAAGATCTCAGTTCATCAGTTACCACAACCGCACCAAGAGGGCCACAGTTCTTTAGCAGTTTTTCTGAAATTCCTATACAAAAAAGTTCAATGATGTCTCCGGCAGATCAGTTTGTCAGTGTTGCAAGAGCATCAGTGAGAATGCAGAAGGTGAAGCAAAAACTTGATTCTGTTATGGTAAGCCAAATTTAATTAATTTCCAGAAGTATATAGTCTTCTCAGCCAAAGTTCACATTCTGGGACTGGTATATGTAACAAAACATATATGTGTAGTCTTGGGATCTGTTCTTCAGAAATGAATACATCTCTCACTAATGCACCTGTAAGTAGCTCTTCAGAAGAGATTAATCGCATAAAACTAAGTTATTTTTGTTTATCAAGTATTAATGACAAGGGGTGTTTTCTGTCAACGCCCGTTGCCATTCATATGATTTACTCCATATATCATTATGGCTGAGCTTTAGAAAATTATCTCTTTTTTTTTGTTTTCGTTTTCTTTTTTTTTTTTTTTCTGTTCACCTTTAGAATTGTATGTGGCATAAATGGAAGAGGTTTCATAGCAGGGGGGCTGCAGGGCTGACCTGTGTGGGAGGAGATCATGGGCTGCCCTGTGCTGGGCACAGCTGTTTCCAGCCAGCTCCGTGAAGGACAATACGGACCCACTGCAAAACTGAAATTGGAACCAAACAGAAGAGCATATGGCACCTCTGAAAACATATTTAAGGAAGGTCGGTAGCTACTAGGGACAGGAAACACCAGAGCAGAGGAGGAAACACAAAAGAAAACATGTCAGGAGGCACAAGTGGAGATACAGGAGGAGGAACGTGAGGAGGCACAAAAGAAGACACAGAAGGAGGCACAAAGGTGATGCAGCAGACACAAAACAATGCACAAATGGAGATACAGAGGGAGATAACAGAGTAGGCATGAAGGGAAAGGCAGGAGGAGATGTATGAGGACACACAAAAGAAAACACAGGAGGTACACCTCCGAAGGGACTGCAACCCATGGAGGAGTTCACGCTGGACAGGTACGATCCCTGAGGGGATTTCAGCTGGTGGAGGACACACGCTGAAGCAGTTGAAAGGAGTAAGAAACAAGGAAAGGCAAAAAGAGCAAGCCACTATGCACTAACCCCACTCTCTTGCACCACCCATTGCCTTACCAAAAGGACTGAGTGTAACATAATGGCAAAAGCAAGGAGACTGGGGACTAGGAAGGAGGAGAGAGGGGTGTCTGAAGTGAAGCATAGACAAAGAAAGAGAGAGGAAAAGTGTTTTCTTTGGGAATTTGTTTGACTATTCGTCTTGTTTCTCAATACCTGAATCAGTAATTAAAGCTTTTGTAATTGGCAATAAATTTAATTAGGTGAAATTCCCCAACTTGAGACATGCAACAAGAATGCAGAATATTTCTGAATAGCGCTGTGCACTTATAATTACTGTTCGTAATGACATGAACTGCATTTGGGTTTGTGCTTATTATTTTTCATTTTTAAGTAGTTTTGGGTGTATATAGATTTTTTTTTTAATGTAGTTTTAGGCTTTGTCTGCATTAGTAAGTAGTGAAGCACAAAAGAAGCAGACGAGTAGGTGAAAGCAGTTGTTGCTGAGGTCGCTGTAGCTACTCTCATCATGCTTTAGGGGTTTTGCTTTGGATTAGATCTAGTCAGGTTCCCTGGCCTGGACGTTCCCATTAGGCCTGTGCTTTGAAACTATCCAAAAGAAAGCTGTCCCACAGTCCTTTGCTTTCTGGACGGTGAGTTCCCAGTGGACCTCTTTATGAAATACCACACTGTAACTCGCATGGATAATGGTAGCATGTTGCTGCTGCCTTTGCAATTACATGTGGCCTCACATAAAGAAGCAAGCCTTGTTTCTGTTTTCATCTACAAGTGAGCCCTGGTGCCTTCAAGTTGTTTATCAGTCAGAGAGAGGCACAGTATGGAGAGAACGGAGCATGTAACCTTGTGTCTGGGAAGACATTCCAGGAGAAATTATTTTTGCTCTTCCGGATGTCTTGTCATCTGAGAAAGAAGACAGGGATAATGAATTTCTGGGATTCTTTTATCATTGCAACTGTTTAGTCTCTGATTAGCCAGGGATTCTGGGCTCTGGCAGGCAAATCTGGTTTAGCAGAACCATGTAGTGGTTCCATGGAACCATGTAGCTACCTGAAATAGATATGCCTACAACTGTGTTTGAGAGAATAACTTTCAGCTACTGGTGTTTTGTAACCCTAGGCTCCCATTACTCAATGATTAGTTTGGGGTAAGTCCACTGTGAGCAGAGTCATGATCAACGTTTTGGGCAGCATCCTCCAAACCTGCTACCCATGGACCATATATATGGGACATGTCAGAAAGGTCATCTGAGACTTCTCACCGTGTGGGTTTCCAAACAGTGCAGGATGGCTGTTGAAAGAGTCCACATCCAGTCTGTCACAGAGCAGTGATGATTATAAACACTGAGAGCGCTTTCTTGCAGGGCTTTATGAACTGCTGAGATCTTGGGAGGAGATTTCTTTCCATTGAAAGGACATTTGATACTCATCTTTTCAACGATCCAACAGGAGACTGAGGGGACAGAGATACCTCCTTTCCAAGCAGGGATAGGACCATTTCTTGCATGTGGGTGCAGTATTGCCTGCCTGCATGATCAGATTCTGGACAGCCCCAGAGTATAATATATCAACATTAAAACTTAAAATTTCTATGAATTTGTAATTGGGAATTAGTTTTGGATGCATATGCGTTTACATGTCCGCAACTCCCTCTTTCATGTGAAAAATGATGCTTGTACGTAAGTGCAGGCTTTGCTGGAAGGCTTGTTAGAATGCATACTCACATAAATGCTTTTCTAAAGTGCTTGTCAAAGTAGGCCTCATAAAAGTTGCCACTCAGCCACATATGTGAGAATGTGCTAATATGTCTGGGTACAGACAAGTGAAAATAGAGAAAGGAGTCTTTATTAAGCCACATGTAGGGTGGCAGGCTGCCTTGTGATAGGGTTGGATTATGAAAATCCAAATGAGAATGCAGGTGTTATCTTGTATGTATTTGTCTGACGGGAAAAATAAAAGGGAACTGGAAACTATGTAGGCTTTTTACTGGTCTTTTGGTCATGTTTGCATGCCAGTGCCTTCTCACAGACATGTAAGGATTACTATGTTGTGTCAAGCATGTTGGCATCATACCTTGTAGACAGTAAACCTGGCCTGAGGTCATGCCTGGCGTCGTGTTGTATGACACAAAAAAGCTGAAACCTCCGAACAGCGGATCTGCCAACACAGGGGTCTCTGGATTCAGTGTGTGTGAACTTAACAGCAATAACTAATGGATATAAAATTAACTTGTAACTGCAAAGTTTGGAGGTTTGCAACTTAGATATATGATTTGCAAATGTAATGTGAATACATTAAAATTTGGTTTAAGCTAGATAGAAATAGAGAATATTCTGATCCTGTATTAGCCTGGGTTTTTTGTGTTGTCACCAGTACCTCCTTTCCAGGTCCCTTTAGAACCAATGCTTTTTTCTTTTCTTGTTTTGATTTGCTACCTAAACAGGAACCTTATTGGATGATAGAGGAAATTTCTTCTCTTCTCCTCTGAAACATTACTATTCTTGTTAGCCCAGAGAATGTGTAATTAGAATGAAGAGTTGAATATTAGGCTAAAGCTTTAGTAATTCACAAAAGCTAGGGCATTTTGTTACAAAAGGTAAATATGTATTTCTCTATGAAACCAGAATGCAGAATTGGGTTCTTTACCACATAGAGAAATTACAATATAGTGAATGTTGGCAGTAATTATTATTTATCTCTGCGTCAAGGAACTAAAGCTAATGTATGTTTCTATTCACAGAAGTTTTTTGATAGAAAAACACTTAACCCATCTCTAGTCTTTGAAAGAACTCATAAGTGCTTTTCATTCAGTGTTACTATTTATGTATTTAAAATTTTACTTCCATCTAGCAAGCAAAATACCTGTTTATAATTTTGCATAACAAGGGGGTGATATATGTTATGGAGATATGGGAAGAAGGGCTTCTTTTAAAGGTATAATATCCTAGCTCTGAAATTGTGATTTTTAGATGTCAAAACATTCATGCTATAATTTGAAGGAGAAAAAACCCTTTGTAGTGCTTAAGGACAGCATCTATATATACTCTGTAGTACTAGTCCTGGAATCAATTATGTGTGGGCTGCCTCATCTCTTAATATGTGAATACTTCTAAAGTAATTAAAATTATGTTTGGCTTTTCCAGTCTTTACTTCACAATGTATTTTTGAAAAATGTTATTAAAAGTTTATCAAAGCGGTTACCAAAATTCTGATACTCAGAGGGTTTTAAGTGCAATATTAGACAAGTACAATGTAAAAGTATTCTTCTCTATATACAGAACTACTTAAAACTGTTTCAATTTTTTTTTGTCCTTTGAGTGTATTTATTACTATGCCAGAATTCATTAAGGAAATAGGTACTGTGAGAGAATCCGGGAGCTTATACCTCGGATTGCATCAAATGTACTGAACTTTCATCATTATGAATGACTATATGTATGACTATAAAGTATGGTCATACATGATGCTTTGGTGTAGTATACATCCAATACTATACTGTGTAGACCTTCCAGATGGTGTCCTTTTAGAATTTAGTTGATATATCTTGTTGTATGAAAGCAGAACAGAATTTAAAGCCACTGCTTTTCAGAAAAAACATGCAACCTTTTTAGTGAACACATAAACATGATACTGATACTATCTAAGCCATCAAGTGGAAGAAGCTGGAAGCTTGTCCTTCAGTCTGCAACAAAGACCTAGAGGCAGAGCTGGATGCCAAAGTGGTGTGTATTTTTTGTACTACCATTGTCAGTCTTGTAAGAATCTGTCCTCCAGGTCATCTTGTTTTTGGTAGATTCTGAAATACCATGCTTGGCTGGATTTTAGTGCAGATCGGGAAGAGAAGAGTTCTGTAGTAACTTACTACAACGTCTATGTGAAGATGGAAAACCGGAGGGTTGTAATATATTAAGTACTGAGGACTCTTGTTAAAACATTGCCTTTTCTGGGGATGTTTTTGGCCAAGTACAAGGTGATGCAGCAATGTCTCTGCAGGCTGAAATAGCTTTGTCACTTGATCATGCCTGCAATACAAAATTTTTATCTACAAACTGTCA